CACGGACTCTTAAGTTAAGGAAATAACTAATCTGTGGCGGCCATTTTCTCACTAATTTTACCTCTGAAAACAGGTGACCCCACCACCTTCATTCGCAAATATCTCGACTTGTATTCAAGACAAACGGATATTTAAAAAAATCTTAATACAGCCAAGTGAACAAGCTTTAAGATGATACCAATAACTCTACATGCCCCAAAATTGACGAGAGCCTGATTCCACCACGCTGCCTCACATATGTCTGAAAGTGTCTTTGTTTAGTTTGAGTAGGACCGGGGACTGTGATGTGCTTGTGTCAGTTGCAATGTGCTTCTTCTTTGTGCCATTCCCCATCCCTGTCCCCAACACCCTTCCTTCATTTCTGTTCTTCTTTGATGTATAAGCAAGGTGATTGTTTCAACAACCACTCACAGACCGTTGTGGAAACAATCACCTTGCTTATACAACAAAGAAGAACAGAAATGAACTGGTAGGTTGTACTTCTTTTCTATCACTCTTATCTTTTCTCTCTGTTTGTCTTTCTTTGTCCCGAGACTAAATGGCCGTTATTGTGTTGATGTGATTCTCATTACTCACTGACTTTCATGCTTTGGCGTTCATATGACCTTATGCAGTTGGGAGCGCTGTAAAAGTCTTATTAAAACAAACAAAAGACTTTCATGCTTGTTCCCTGCCCTGATTTAAATGACAGTTTTTATATCAGGGTGTGGGTGGTTGGTGGGTGCTCTGGTGTGGTTTGCTTCTTGTTTTCAATCAAACATCTATCGTCCTTATCTCCCCTTCTTCTTTTTTACGTTTGTTACTCTCTTGTAACACCTCTAATCTTCTGGCGCTCATATGACCTTATGCAGTTGCGAGCGCCGTAAAACCTCTTCTAAAAAAACCAACCTTATATCAGGGTGCTTTTTCAGAGTCATTACTGCAGCCCCCTCCCCTGTTTTCTATGGTTGTTTTAACAATGGTTTATACATCCACCCCCACCCAACCACCCTGCCATGTCATAGATCACCACAGTGGGCCGATGCAGCGGCGGGACCACGCGATCCCGCATTCCTCTGGGATCCTTCTACGGACACACCTACATCCTGCCCTGGGAGTGGCCCAGACCAGGCCCGGCCAGTGGGACCGTTGGAGGGAGTGGTGGGAAACAGTCCCAGACGCCAGCTGGAGCAGGTAAGTCTCTTAGGGGGGGGGGGTTATACTAGTTCTTTCTTCCTACTTCTTGACTCTGCCTCTGTTGAGGGCATGGGAGTGTCCCGTTTGGTTTCTGTTTTCTTCTTCTCCTCTTGTCGTAATATGCACACCTTCCACGCCCAAGTCCCATCATTAATTGTGTTTTTGTGGGTGGTTGGAGGGTGCCTGTGGTATGTCCCACTTCTTTACTTTGCCTCATGTGATTTTGTCTTGGGG